AACTGTCCATCCAGCGTGCAGACGTAGCGGGTGGATTTACTTCGCGAGACAATGTTGACTACCACCCGAAACGAACGAATCGACAATTACAGCCCGACAGATAACCCGTGGCTAACCAGAAAGATAACCACCGAATGCCACAACGTCGGGGCTGTCGATCAACGTATATAGCGCCACAATCGGGCCAAAACAGTCAAGACGGCATGCGGAAGAAGAGGCGACGTACGTGTCAAGTGCGGACCAAAACCAACAAGGATTGACCAACAGACAGAGGCATGAATCATCCTTCCGCGCGGTTGAAAATTGAATGTATATAATTGAACACGTAAACCGGTTGTTTTTGAATTGGATCAATAAACGTTTTCCCAGCCCACTCGACTTCTCTTTACATATTGCACACACATGCGTACTCTCCTCAAACAAAACATTACGTACCCTTCAATGACCTTGCGGATGATCATCTAACTATGCATGACTGTTCCCGATGAGTAATATCGCTAAGAATTATCTTCACCCAACAAATAGGAATAAATTCATAAATGGCATCTGAAGGACATTCCTTCCTAAAAGCACATTAGACATCAGGTGATTTAGAAACAAAAATAATACGCCTGTGTGGAATAAGGTAATCATTGAACTCACCATAACGACACACGTACACTACGCTCGTGAGTAAAACACAACCCCATTTACCCCAGTCCCCAATGACACGGATTCCAACACATACACTCGCGTCTTGGACTGAAATACCGATCATTCGTCTTTTATGTGTTCATCAAAACCGTCCGGAATCTTAACTAACCAACACTTCAGTTGCAACTATTCGTACTGACACGGGGGTGTTACCAAAATCTCACTTCTGTATCCCATCATCGCAAAACTCCAACAATCACATTTATGTGAACACGTGTTTACAGTTATCTCAATGTAACCGGTAATAGATGAAAGAAACTTTGAGTAGAGAAGCCAAAATCACAGATTTGCACAATGCCTCCTAGATCATCATTTCACTGCATCTGTACACGTGCATACTTCGATTTCTGTGATCATTATTATGTGGTCCGAAAAAGCAGAACCATACGCGGACTACGATTGCGGTCAAAATTACTCATCAAACACATTTGTCACCAAGGCGGTACCAGAGTGAGAGAGGGAGAAAGAAAATTTCATCGAGGAGACCATTTGTGTGGTGATAATTTTTCCATGCAAGCCAATAACGAATATTCATCACTAATTTCCCATTGTGAACTCTAGCTACTTAAGCCATTGTCCCAAAGCATCAACCCCTTAGCTTGTTTTATTGGTGGTGATCAGCTAGAAGTAGTTGAGAACTTCAAGTACCTCGGGAGCTTGATCGCAGTTGGTGTTGAAAAGGAGATCACATCACGAATATCGAAAGCTAGAGCAGCTTTCACCAACCTACGACACCTGTGGCACCGCCATGACATCCGATTGTCCCTTAAGGGAAGGGTGTACATTACCGCAGGTTATAGTGTTCTGCTTTACGGTTGCGAGATCTGGCCTCTCCGAGCGGAGGATGTTGATCGGCTTTCTGTATTTCACCAACGATGTATCCGAAGCATTGCTCGTGTCTGGTGGGAACATCGGGTGAGTAATGACGAGGA